CTCAGATCTCCAAAGACCCAACTAACAACATCTGGGGAGGCCATTTAAAAAGAGAACCAGCCTGACGTACTTACACATACCCACACCCCACATGCACAATCGCACTTTTATTCTCTGCATCCCCCTCCACCCCCCCCAACCCCAATTATAAAAGTTCCACAAAAGAACATTTGGAAAATCCAGCACGCTGGGTTTTTAAAAGTAAATTTAAAAGGTGCCTTATAAGCCCCCGCCACTCACATCCTCCAGGGGAACTGCAGTTAACACTTTCGCCCATGGCCTCTTGGCTTCCTCGCGGTTTTACACAGTGGACTGACTATTCGGGGATTTTTCTTTAAGCAGCATGTTCTCTAGCCAGAAGAACCATCTGCCATAGGAGGGGGTTGGGGGCTGTCTGGGAGGGACCCTCCTTGGGAGGTTGGCAGTCAGGGAAGTGGTTCTCGGGGGTTCACAGGGATGAAATTCAGCCACTCGTACACTTTATTATGTCTGTTACTTACGGTTACAGGACTGAGCGTCCTGGCCGTGACATTGAAACCCTCACACTGACGCCTCCTCCCGTGCCCAGAAGGAACCCTCGGAATGGACACTTCTGTGTCCTTCAGCACTGTCCGTGGTTCTGGGTGTCCATGCGATGGTCCCCGGAGTCCAGTCCTCCTCTGGACGTGGGTACAGGCTAGGGGCCCAGGCTGGGCTGGGGGCCTGGCCGGTCTCTGCTTCTTCCATCTCAGCCCTGACTGCCTCTGGCCTTGCTCCTTGCCTGGGAACAATTAAAGACCCAGCCAGGCGGCACTCACCAAGGAGAAATGGGAACGAGTCGATTGAGTTTCACGGAAATCATTTTGAGGGGCCCCCGTCTGGCCTGCGGGCTCTGGGTTGGTTTGGAGTGGCAAGTGGCCAGCTTCCTTCCTGCCACTGCCTGCCCCCCCCTCGCTGTGTGCCCCCCCACCCCGACCCTTATGAGCCCCTGGCGTGCAGGCCTGGAGCAGGTATCGTTCTGGCCAAGAACTCCAGCTCCCATTAACTTGGAACATTCGCCGTCTTTACCAGCTGCCCCTTAAATGGTTACAGCGTGAGCCCAGCGGAACCCATCTCGGGGAGCCAAAAGCATCCCAGACGTGAGCGAAAACAGCTTCATTCGGCCCACTCCAAGGGGCGCCAGACAGGCAACAGCCAGGGACACCCCGCAGGCCCGGGCGGACAGGGCATCAGGGGGCATGGGAAGAGGGCACGTCTGGCCCACCTCATCTGGGAGGGGTCCCGGCTCTGTTTCTCTCCTCTTCTCGCGATCCTGGGCAAGACCAGCACCCGTTTCGTCTGCCAAGTGGGAAGGCCCTGCTAAGCCTGGGATCCTTGTATGGCCACACAGACAGAGATGGGCCACAGCTGGCGCCCAGGAGAGGCCTGGAAACCCTGGTCACCCTCGTGTGACGCAGGGGATCCCGTCTGCACACAGGCTGCGCCTTGCCGGCAGGATGGGAAAGGGAGGAAGAAAGAAAGTCCCTGTCTCTTGGTAGCACCAGAACAACCGTCTGAGAGAGACACGAGAGGAAGCCCCATGTCCGGATGGGGAAACTGAGGCAGGGATGGAGTCGTGCCTCCTGTCCCAGAGGTTGGGGTACGGACGGCAGAGGGGAGGCAGGCTGCCAGTGACAGGAATGCAGGAGCAAGGAGTCACGCCCTGAAAGCCAGCTTCTCTGAGCGGAGGACCGAAGAGCCCCCTCTGTGGCTGAGATGCCACGCCCTGTTCTCTCTCTGCCAACCTCAGCCTGCTTCAAAGAGGGAGGGGCAAGCTATGGAGGCTTTGGGGCATGAGGTGACGCCAGATGGTCCTGGGTGAAGGCAGTCCATCCTGTCGCGCTTAACTTTTCCCTTTAAAAGACAAAGCCCAGCTTGGGGTGGGGGTGGGGCGGTGATGGAGAGAGGGGACAAGGATCATGCAAGGTGCTGCCTTGCGCGCAGCCTGCATGCAGTCAACCACGGTTTAGCTTTTCTTTTTATTGGTGGGGGTGGGGTGGGGGGCCAGGTCACACCTGGAAATGCTCAGGGGCTACTCCCGGCTCTGCACTCAGGAATTACTCCTGCTCCCCTGGGGGGACCATATGGGATGCCAGGATCCAACCTGGGTCTGTTGCATGCAGGCAAGCACTGTACTACGGCTCCGGTCCCTAATCATGATTCATTACCCGTCACCCCAAAATGGACCCCCAAATCCCACCAGGAGTGATCCCTGAGCATGGGGCGGCAAGAAGCCCTGGGCCACTCCGTGTGTCCCTCCTCCAAAAAGTTAAAAAACAAAACCAGAAACATACCAATGTCCTTCCTCTCATCCCCACCCACTCGAAGCAACAGAAGTTGCAAGTCTTCGTTCGACTGATCCCAGTAGGGGCCACACCCTGGGCCGTGCTCTGCAGCCCTGGTGGTGACCGGGTTTGAGTCTGAATGTCCTAAACCAGGTCCCCGTGTTCCAGCAGCCTTGCTGGGATCGAGACCAGCCGTCTTCCTCCTCCCCCACGTCCCGTTTTTTCTCCCCGTCCCCAGGGACCTTGCTCAGGAACAGGATGTTTCTGTTCTCCTCCCTCCTTGGTGGGTTCCCATTGGTTCTCCTCGCTGACTGGAGTCATTGGAGTCTGACACTCCCATGAGGTCTCGTCAGTGTGGGGGCTGGGGGCCGGGGTGGGGGGCATCACTGGGCTGTCACGGAGAAGTGGCAATGCCAAGAGGGACCCTCAGCCCATCCTTCCTCCTGATGGAGCCCCTGTCACGACTGGGTCCATATCAGGCCCCTATGGGTACGGAATAGGGGCTGCTGTGTTGACTTCTCCTGTGGCTGCACCCCGGATCTCGGACTGGGTAGCTCAGAGTTCAGATTATCTGGTACACCAAACATCCGACCTGGGTGTGCCTGCGCTCAGACCGACCCTCCCCAGGCGGTGTTCTTTGTTTTGTTTGGGGGCCACACCCGGCGGTGCTCAGAGCTTTCTCCTGGCTCTGTGCTCAGGGATGGCTCCTGGCAGGACTCATATGTGGTGGTGGGGGTTGAGCTAAGGTTGGTGTGTAGGACAGACGTTGTTCAGGCGGAATCCCCTCGCTTGCCTTTCTTTAAGGCCAGATCCTTCGGTCTATTGTCTGTGTTTTGTTTGTTTTGTTTTACTTTATTTAAACATCACTGTTTACGAAGCTGTTCCTAAGCCCATGGTTCCGGCTTTTGACGTTCCAGCACCAATCCCACCACCTGAATGACCTTTGCTCCACCCTTGTTCCCATTTTCCCGGCCACCCCCCAGGCCGACCCCCTTCTCGGGCACACAGTCATCTGTTTTATATGACTTGTGACAACCAAATGGCCAAACCAGTGTGGCTCTCTCCATTCTTCTATGCACTCCTTCCTCTGTCTCCTTTGCATAATCCTGGAGAATCCTGGCTCAGATCCCTGGATAATCCTGGCTCAGATCCCTGTTTATCTGTCTGTCTGTCTGTCTGCGGTCACACCCTGCGGGGTTACACCAGATGACCAGGGTACAGGCCTGATGACTCAGTGCTCTGGCCGGACAGCGTGATGGTGGGCCCAGCAATGGTTGGGGGAAGTCATCAAGGTCATCATACCTTCAGTCACTCCTAGAGCCCTTGGCCCCCATGGGAAATCTCAGCCACTTGGCTCACTCAGCAGCCCACAGGGTGGCTGACGTGGGGAGGGGAAGGACTCAGCTGCAGCCCCCCAGAGAGTGGGGGAGGCTGAAGGTTCTTTTGTGTCCCCAGCCCACATGGCTCTTCTCCTTGGAACAGCATGTAATATATTTTTAATTTAATTTTTATAAAGTTGTTCACAACAATTTATTACATTTATTCTCCCAACACCAATCCCACCACCATCACACCTTCCCAACACCATATTTTGAATGTTTCCACTCAGATCCCCAAACCCTGGCCCCAAAGCAGGACCTAAATAATTTATTTTGTGTTGCGTGTTATGAATAATCCTCTAAAAGGGATCCCCAAAAGTTTCCTTAAGGGAAAGTGTATGAAGATGTTGTATTTCACCCTGGAGTCATTAAGCCGGTCTATAAGAGATTACTAACATGTTGTGAAAGATTGAGACATGTGTGTGTGTGTGTGTGTGTGTGTGTGTGTATCCCCCCTTTGAGGTTGGTTGCCTTCTACTTTACACCTCATCAAATTGGTGTGCTACTTTTGGTACATCCGTGGCATAGAATATGAGACGTTGCTCCGGGAATTCTAAAATTTTATACAGCTGAGGTTAATTTAATTTTTCTATTTTTTTTAACTGGATGGTGACTTTGGGGTTCGGAGGCGTCTCTGCAGCATATCATTCTGTGTTGTTCTCTTCTGAGAGCTTTGCTTGTGAGTCTCTGGATCATGCTGTTAATGAGCTTAGATGGCACCAGAGGCAGTTCCTGGGCGTGACTGCATGACCAGGCTCCCAGAAGAACAGGGAGATGGGGAGAGGTCACCCATTCCCGACCTGTGGGAGCCTGGAGATTTCAGTCACAAGTCATGGATACCTGGGTTTCTCAGCAGATTCAGTCATGGATGAGGCATGTCCAAGCCGGTATCCTGTGGAGATCAGCAAAGAGCATGGCAGTGATTGAGTTCTGGAGGTTTTCGGCTGCCGTGGCTCTGTTGGGGCAGGGAAAGGAACTCACCCACCCCCCCCTCCGGGTTGCCCTAGAAGAAACAGCCTGACCCAGGGTCTGGAGGCATCTCTGCTGCATGTTGTCAGCAGATGATATTTGAGCAAAAACCTACAGGAGGGAGAGGATAAGGTTGTACTGAGAACTAGTCCAGGCAGAGGGAGCAGTCAGTGCAAAGGCCCTGAGGTGCCTGGAGGACTTGGGGAACAAGAAGAAGGGTGGAGGTGGCGACAGAGGGGGCTGGTGGGAGCGAAGGTCAGAGAGCTGGGGGGTTCTGAGTCGGGGGGCTGACTGCCCTTACTGTTATCACTGCCTCTCTCACCTTTGATCCTCTCCTCCTGTTCCCCAGGACTCCCTGTCCCTGGACGCGGCCATCCAGCACGCCCTGGCAGGCCTCTACCCGCCCTTCGAGGCCACGGCCGCCACCGTCCTGGGCCAGGTGTTCCGGCTCCTGGACTCAGACTTCGGGGGTGATGGGCTGAGTCTGCTGCTGGACTTCCTGATTCCTGCCAAGCGCCTGTGTGAGCAGGTGCGGGAGGCAGCCTGCGTAAGTCAGGAGGCCCCGGGGCCCCGGGTGAGGGCTGGGCAGAGCAGGCAGGACGGGGGGCCCTGACTCGTCAGGAGCAGAGGTGGGAGCTTCCTTCCTGCCGGGGCCCAGAGGAAGACTTCAGCACCCACTCCACCCACCCAACCCAAGCTGGCAGGTGGTCAACCCTTCCCCCCTTGACAGACAGGATCAAAAGTGCCAGTTCACTAGCCCCTGGGGAGGCTGGGAGCCAGGCATCCTGGTGGTCCCCGGGAACCTGACCCCCACCATAACCCTGGCTTCCTTATGCTCAAGTAGGGAACAATTTCTGTGCACACAGCGGAGACTGTCCAACCCACCCTGAGCCCCTAAGGTGGCAGAGAGCTTGCTCATTCCCGGAGACTCTGAATAGGCCTCAGGGGCATCCTGGGAGGTGACAGAGGGAACCGTGGGTTGGGCAGAAATGTGGTGGCGAACTGAGAGCAGAGTGGTGTGGCAGGGTCTGTGCTGGTGGCCCACCAGTCACACCTCTTACAGTGCCTTCCTCTCTCCTGGATTTGGGGTTTTGCACTGCCTATGTCGATGTTCCCAGTGCCATCTTGCCACAGTAGAATTTTCCAGGGTGGAGCCAGATTTGACCTCCCAGAGAGAAGTAGGAACTCTTAAAAAAAAAAAAATATATATATATATATATATAAGGTAAAGGCCCTCCCGTTGATCGTCGATTTGCTCGAGCGGGCCCAGTAACGTCTCCATTGGCGACTTTGTTGTTACTGTGTCTGGCATATCGAATACTCTCGGTAGCTTGCTGGGCTCTCCGAGAGGGGCGGAGGAATCGAACTCGGGTCGGCCATGTTGACCGCTTGTAAGGCAAATGCCCTACCCGCTGTGCTATATATATATATATATATATATATATATATATATATATATGTTTTTGGGGTCACACCCAGCGATGCACAGGGGTTACTCAGGAATTACTCCCGGCGGTGCTTGGGGGACCATATGGGATGCTGGGAATCGAACCCGGCTCAGCCATGTGCAAGGCAAATGTTCTACCTGCTATGCTATCACTCTAGTCCCTAAATATATTTTTTTAATGAATCACTGTGAGATACAGTTACAGACTTACAAATTGTCATTATTACATTTCAGTCATACAATGATCGAACACCCATCCCTCCACCAGTGCCCATTTTCTACCACCAGTGTTTCCAGTATCTCTCCTGCCACCCCCACCCCATCCCCTCTCCCCTTGCCTCTGTGGCAGGCCCATTCCCTTTTACCCTCTCTCTCCTTTTGGGTATTATGGTTTGCAATACAGGTAGTAAGTGGCCATCATGCTCGGTCTATAGTCTACTTTCAGCACGCATCTCCCATCCCAAGTGAGCCCTCCAAGCATCATTCACTTTGTGGTCCCTTCTCTATCCCAGTTGCCTTTTCCCCCAGCATGTGAGGCATTCCTCCTGGCCCTTATCTCTACTAGCCTTGGGTGTTAGTCTCCCATTCTGTTACTTTCTATTCCACAAATGAGTAGAAGCAGGAACTCTTCCCTGTGGAGGGAGGAAACTCTCAGGGAAGGATTCTGATTGGTCAGGCTGGGGTCCTGGGCCCTGGGCCCTGGGCCAATCTCTGTGCTAGAGGGCTGGGTACCAGGACCGGCCAGGCTCAAGTCCTGTGAATGTGGATGGCCGGATCGTGGGGACTATTTTGAGAAAAGGCTGAGAAGGGCCTGAGGAGTCCAAACCCTCTCAGGTCAATGGTGGGAAACTGTCCACCCCCATTGCAGGTTTGTCAGCCATGTCCTAATGCCCAGTCCGGCCGCCCCGGGCTCAAGAACCACTACGAGGCTCATAGCCCCCACCCCTCGACCCTAAGCTCCTCCTGCCTGTCCACACCTGGCAGGGGCCAAAGGCAGAGGGGACCATGGGGACCATCTCAGAGGTGAGCAGAGAGGGGTTGAGGGAAGCTACAAGTTCAGGCTCATAGGCTGAAATCAGAGACCCCAAGTTCAATACGGTGTCTGGTTCACAGAAACTCTTCCAGATGCATCATGGCAACTGTTGCAGGGGGGTATTCTCATGGATACATCTGTGCCAGTGTCCACGCTCTCTCTGTTGACACACTTTCTCTCTATCTTTCTCTCTCTCTTTCTCTTTCTTCCTTTCTTTCTTTCTTTTTCTTTCTTTTTTCTTACTTCCTCTATTTCTTCTTTCCTTCTCTCTCCTTTCTTTCCTTTCATCCTTTGTTCCTTCCTCTCTTCCTTCCTTCCTTCTTTTCTTTCTTTCTTTCTTTCTTTCTTTTTTCTTCTTTCCTTCTTTCTTCCTTTCTTATTTCTTCTTTCCTTAGTTCCTTTCTTTCTTCCTCTTTATTCCTTCTTTCTCTCTCTTTTCTTTCTTCCCCCTTTCTTCTTCCTCCATTTCTTTCTTCCTCTTTGTTTCTTCCTTCTTCCTTTCTTCTTCCTCTTTCTTTCTTTCTTTCTTTCTTTCTTTCTCTCTCTCTCTCTCTCTCTCTCTCTCTTCCTGTCTCTTCCTTTATTTAGTGGGAAGGGGGGGTGGCACACTCAGCCATGCTCGGGACACCCTGCAGGGCCAGGGACCACTCCTCCCTCACGCTGAGCATGAGCTATGAGCCGTCTCCCAGGTCTGGCATTATTTCTTACACATCCATCCCCATCCTCCTCTGGACAGTGACCCTACTGCCCACTTCCTGTAGCTGGCCGTGAAAACACATCTATGCTGCTTTCTTCCCCGTTTCTTTGGTGAACAAAGCTCACGAGCTTTCAGTTTCTTGATTTTTATTCTGTGACATCGGCGACTTAAATGTTAATTTGTCAGGGCCAGAGAAATAGTATAGCGAGGAAGGCGCTTGCTTTGGACCTGGCCAACGGGTTTCAAGCCCTGGTACCACCAGGAGTGATCCTGGGCACAGAGTAAGCCCTGAGCATGAGGCCCAACCCCACCGTAAAAATTTAGATTTTACACTATAAATAGCATGACAGGTGAATTTGTGTTGCCTTGTGTGGAGGGATTAGCAACTGGCCCCAGGCCTGGAGTCCTGGTTCTAACCCAGCCTCTAGCACTGTGAGTTTGTGAGATTCTTGGCTCTTCTCCAAGCTTCTGTTTCCTTCTATGTAAAGTTGGGATACGGACCCCCTTCCCACTGTGCAGGTAGGAGGGTACTGTGGCCGGCCCCTCGTCCTGGCCTGCAGGAGGTGCTCATATCCTCCCAGCAACCTCCTCTCAGGAATAAGAACAAGGGCTGAAAAGACAGCACAGAGAGTAAGGCAGACCTAAGGATGACCCTGGCATCCCGTATGGTCCCCTGAGCACTGCCAGGAATGGGCACCCTCATGCCTGAATGCAGAGTCAGGAGTAACCTCTGAGCATCATCAGGTGTGGCCTAGCCCCCACCCCGGCGCCCCCCCAAAAAAAAAGGTAAGAAAGAAAGGAAGGAAGGAAGGAGAGAGAGAGAGAGAGAGAGAGAGAGAGAGAGAGAGTGCAGGCCAGCCTCAGCGCAGCCTCTCAGAGCCAGTGCCTGGAGGCAGCCAGGAAGCCCAGGGACCACTGGGGACAGGCACAGCCGACTCCAGGGGAACCCTTCCTCCCATGGGGGGCATAGGAGAAGACCCTTCTTCTCGTCCCCACAACGCAGTGCCCGCAGGCCGTGGTTATTCTGAGTGTCTGCGGGCAGGTGATGGGTTGCACCCTCACACCTGAGCTTCCTTCTCCAGGGCCTGGCAAGCCTCAGCATAGCTGGTGTACCAGCTCGAAGGTACGCTATGGTCATAGTCAGGCCTCAAAATCCTAGGAAACACCTGTGGGCTCCCTGCAAACCCCAGCCGGCGGGGGAGGGGGTTCCTGTGGGCACGTCCAAGTTCCCATGGACTGTCCAGGGCTCTGAATCAGGCACTGTTGGGCCGCTGGAACTGCAACTCCCACCATCACCACGTGGTGTCACTGTTGAGCGTCGTCCCTGCGCAGCCCCGGGGTGGGGGAGGGGTGAAGGTCGGAGAGGTAGTTCTCAGTGAGAGGGGTGTGGCAGGTTCCCGGGGGAAATGGAACAGTTTTCTTCAAAGTCATCCCTCAAGCTAGTGGCAGAGTCGAATTCCCCAAGTTCAGCTTCATTTCCGCTCCCTTATGAACTCTCTGCTCAAGGATTCAAGAACGGTACCCTCGTAGAAAACGACCTTTTTAGTTTTCAATTGGCAATTCCAACCACTTTCCAAAGGGCAAATGTCAACTGGGGAGGGAATTAGAATTTATTCAATCTACCTCTGACATGCGAGGCTTGGTGTTGGTATTTATTTTTTTTTACACGTTTATAAAATATCTCACTCCATCCTCCCACCTACCCAGTCATGCCAATACAGATTATCATTCCTAATTGGGACATCGAGGCTCCAAGAGGTTTCATGGCACAGTAGCAGCAGCTTGGATCTCGGCGTTCATGCCTTCTAGGCTTGCAAGTGGAGCGTGGGGCTAGAGCTGGGTTGAGGGGTGCTTCGGATGGGTGGGAGAAGAAGAAGGCCAGGGGCGGTCTGGGACCCCCATCACGGGAAGCTAAGCCACACCTGTCCACCACCCTGTCTTGCACCCGTCAGCTGGCAAGTCCTTCCTAGGTCAGGGCAAAACCAAGGCAGAGAAGGCATCTGGGGGTAGGGGGCTGTCTCAGGTCTGCATCCGGGACCCCCAGAGCAGGGGCCTTATATGGAGACCCCTCATCCCCAGCCTGTTCGAGAGCCCCTGGGGAGAGGGAAGGAGGCAGAGCCCCTGGCGTTTGGGCCGACCCCCTGACGCGCCCTCCACTCTCCGCAGGCCCCCTATGCCCGCCGTGTCTTCCTGCACGAGGGCTGGCCCCTGTGTCTGCACGGCGCCGTGGTGGTGCATCTGGCCCCCCTCAGCCCCCTCCTGCTGCGTGAGGGCGACTTCTTCCTCCAGGCCGAGCCCCGGGAGGAGCAGTCTGTCTGCCTCGCTGTCAAGTGCCTCTCGGCTGACCTCCGCACAGTGGACACCAGGCCGGTTCCCGAGTCCTCCTACTCGGAGCTGTTCACGCAGGCATGGCTGGGGGCCCTCGACGGTGCATCCGAGGGTCGCCAGCTCCGCAGCTGCCTGGTGGCGTCTGGAACTGGGGTCGCCCGGGTGCCCTGGACCAAGATCACCAGCCCAGAGTTTGTGGACAACGAACCCCCTGTGGAGAATGTCCCCTCCTCCCCGGCCTGGAGTTCCCTTCAACTCGAGGCTCTGGACCTGAGCAACCCCCGAGAGCTGGTCCAGGCTCGGACCCCAGACTGCCAGGGCTTTCAGACCCCGGGCAACACCGGGACGTGGGGAACCAAGTACCCCCGACTCATCAAGGTGGAGCAAAGCCGGCCTGGGGAGGGGGCCCTGATGGTGGACAGTGCGGCCAGCCAGGACTTGGAGGGTGACTACGTGGGCCTTCTGGAAATCTCTCCAAGGAGCAGCCGAGCGTCTCCCCAGAGGGAGGCGGGCACCTCCAGTGGGCATCCCCTGGCCGCCCCGGGAGAGTTGAGGGGAGTGGAGGGAGTCTCTCTCCCTCAGAGAGGGCTTCCGTCCACGGGAGCTGACGGGGCACCTTCGCTGGACAAGTGCGTTAGTGCCCAGCCAGGCAGTTTGGAGCAAAAACCCCGTGATTGGGGCTTGCCAGGAAAGCTGGACCTGGAAGGTCCCACAGAGGGCCCAGAAACCCAGGCCCCGGAGGTTGACCTCAGCGGCACTGAGAGACCCTTACCTTGGGCTTTGGACTCCAACTCAGAACCAGCTGCCTCCAGGACACAGGGACCCAAGCAAACATCCTCTCCCCTGTGCCCGGCCGGGTCCCTCGCTGCTCCAGCCTCTGCAGCCAGAGCGACTGGCCGGCGCCCACCAAGCCATGGCCGGATACCCCTACCTGAGCCCGCCACCTCCTCGCCCACATCCCCCTCTCCCAGGCACAGAGTCTCCGTCTTGAGAGGACAGAGGCCAGCCCACGATGTCCCGGAGGAAGCGCCGCCTTGCAGAGTCCTGTGTCCCCGGTCCTCGCCCGAGCCCAGCCGAGACAAGTGGCAGGGGAAAGGTAGGGGTGCGGCGTGGTGAGAGGCGGGCTGGGATTGTGGTTCTGTGAGAGGGAGCAGGGCCAAGTCCGGGTTTGAGGTCTCACTGGGTGCCCCGCTGAAACCATCCGAATACGGGCGTGATGATCGCAAGTGAGGCCTCGCTCTGCAGGTTCTAGGTCACCCTCCATATACTGCGGGGGTCACGGCGAGGGCCATCTGGAGCTTCAAGGACAGCAGATGTGTCGCGTCCCGGCGGGCTCTGCTCAGTCAGAAGGCGAGAGCAGACATTCCCCCGGGAACCCGAGCCTTCTTTCACACCCTTTTCTTTGTTGCTGCATTTGCCCAGCTGGAACAACTCAGACGCAAACATCTGGCCCAGATGCTGACTCAGGCCCACCGCTCTGGGAAAAGGCTGGTGTGCCAGAAGCTTCCGCAGGCCCTCTGGGAAGAGGCCCCCCTCTGGACCTGCAGCCACCGGGGTCCGAGCTTGGCATTAAGGCTCTGAGTGCGGAGATCCTGAGCTCACGGATAGCATGCCTGCCAGGTGCGCGGGGAGGGGGGCGTGGGGTGGGGTACCTGCCAGAGGTGAGGGGCAGCGGGCATGGCTGCCAGGGGTGCAGGGTGAGTGTCAGGTGTGCCTGCCAGGTGCACGGGGTGGTAGGTGGTGGAGGAGGCTGGACCTGGCCTCCTGGGACTCAGGGTCCTTCTCTTCCAGTCAGGAGATGGATTCTGTCTCAGCCATTTCTAGGGGCCCATCTGTCCTTCCTAGTTTCTGAGAGTCTGCCAAGGGTGAGTGTCCAGAATTTCCAGAATTTTCCCTGGAAGCACAGCTTGAGACAGGGGTCCTGAGGAAAGTGATTCCCTACTGGTCACTCCCAGGGGAGGGTCATAGAGGAAGGAAGGTGAGGCAGGATGTGGCCTGACCCCTGACCAATCACCAGAGGGCATGAGCTGAACCACAAGGGCTGCGGTGGGGCGGGGGGTGGGGAGGAGGGGGTGTCAGTCCTCATCAGCCCCCATATGTTATGTCCTGGGAAAGGAGTTTCTCTTGCACATGGACCAGACCAGATGCGAGGCTGCAAATGCAAGGCCCCTTTATTGTTAGCTCGAGCTAGGGTTTGAGTCTCATCCAACGCCGTGGAGTCGTGACAAGGACCCTGACTCTGAATTCTGAGCAGCAGCTTATAGAGGGTTTGGTGACATAACAGCATTTTCCCAGGAACTGACACTATGTTGCCAGTTTTTGGTCCCGGTCCTTTCCCGAGACTCCCCTCCCTGGCCCTCTCCACCTGGCTGGGCGCCACTGCCAGTGCCCCCTACTCTGATGGGCTGATGCCACGGGGCAGTTTATCGGCCCAGGATGATACTGTTCTCTGAGAAGTCGGGACTTTCTGAGAGGGGAAAGCGAGACTCAGGCCTGCTGAGTCTCGGTGTTAAAGTGGAATCTGTCATGGCTCCACTTTTGCCTCACCTTGGGAGGGGATGGGGCCAAGTTCTGATTTACTGTAGGGGAATTCTGGGAAAGGAGGGCATCTGGGCGGGGTCCAGGGCGCCCTGCAGCCCTCACAGAGGGTGTCAGTGCTGCTGCTGACACTGGACATGGCCTTGTCTCTGCAGGGAATATTTGTTAAGCACCTGTCATGTGCCTGTATTGAGCACTGAGCACCCCACATGCCTCAGTCTGAGCTGCCGTCTGCTCTCAGGAAACCCTGTTAGCATGAGGGGAAACCAGCAAGTTATTGCAACCCAGTAGGGAAAAGAAAATGGTACCTGGGGGCTATGCAGGGGCCTGTGGTCTGGGCTCAGGGGAGGGTGATCAGGGAAGACTTCCTGGAGGAAGTAGTCCAAAGCTGAGGCCTGTAATATAGCTTCAGAGAGCATAACTCACGTGAATGGGTGGGAAAAGTGTTCCAGACAGAGGGAACAGCGCGTGCCAAAGGTGGCTTGGGTCATCCCTGCCCAACCCCTACCTCCCGACCTGCTGGGCACCTTGGCTGAATAGCCTGGAAACAAGATGAGGCTCTTTCGTGTGGGGGCCCTGGGCTGGGAGAGGGATTTCTCACGGACCTCCTGGAGGAGGTGGCCTCTCAGTTGGACTTGGAAAAATAAGGAGAGCCTTGGCAGCTGAAGCAGAAAGGACGGGGATACAACTGGGATAGAGGTGGGTGGTGGCAGCCTGGCGTCCCTGGGGCTGGGCTGCGGTGACAGGGAGGACGCTAGCTGCCTGGAGCGGCCAGGCAAAGTCCCACAGAGGCTTAGGCGACAGGGACTGGTTTCTCCCGGGCTCAAGGTCATGGGTCCCGGTAGAGTGTGGAGGCCGGTTTACTCCCTCTAGGGCCTCCCCTCCCTCTGTTTCCACATGGTCCCCATTCTGTCCATCTCGGTTTGGACTTCCGGTTGCTATAAGACACGGTCCTACTGGATCGGGGCCCGACCCAGTGACCACACGATCGTAGTGACCCTTCAGAGACTCTTCAATGATGCCACAATAGTACAGCAGGGAGGGCGCTTTCCCTTGCACGCGGCCAGCCCAGATTCAATTCCCGGCATCCCACGTGATCCTCCTTGCCCAAACATTGTCAGGAGTGATTCCTGAGGGTAGAGCTGGGAGCAACCCCGGAGCATCACTGGGTGTGACCCCAAAATAGAAAAGCAAGCAAACTAGGGCTGGAGCGATAGCACAACTGCCTTGCACGCAGCCGATCCGGGTTCGATTCCCAGCATCCCATACAGTCTCCCGAGCACTGCCAGGAGCGATTCCTGAGTGCAGAGCCAGGAGTAACTCCTGAGCATTGCCGGGCGTGACCCAAAAAGAAAAAGAAAAGAAAAGAAAAGAAAAGAAAAGAAAAGAAAAGAAAAAAAAGAAAAAAGCAAGCAAACAAAAGAGCCAATGACAGCCACATTCTAAAGCACTGGGGGGGGGGGGGTGAGGACTTCAGCCTCTGAAGGGGGTGGGTGTGGGGTACAGGTTATCTGGGGACCAAATGAACACACATAGAGCCCAGAGGGGCTGCACTCTGCTTTCTCACAAGGAGCCATGGAAAGTCTGAGCCGAGGAGATGCCCTGAGTGCCAGTCACTGTGTCCCCCACTCAGGTGATCCGGGTGAACCCATCAGGGCTCATCCCACCTTGATAGCAGTTTGTGGAGGGGGGGTATAGGGTCTTGCTGGGTGGCTACTTCCCCAGTCTGCTTCCTTCCCAAGAAAACAGGTGCAGGGGCGTCACACAACATCTCCCCTCCAGGGAAGCCGATGGCCGCGGGGTGCCCAGGCCGTGGACAAGCATCTCCCACCTGGCAGACCTATGCCTGCCTTTCCACTTTTCAATTAACTCACTGTTTGGACTTTCTGTGATCAAAAAAAAAAAAAGAAGTCAGACATACAGGAAATTGGGGACTAGAGGATAATTAACATTCTCTTGGCCCTTCAGTGGGTTTAATAAATCTGAACTTTCTTTTATTTTGGGTCACACCCAGCAATGCTCAGGGGTTCCTCCTGGCTCTGCACTCAGGAATTACCCCTGGCGGCGCTCAGGGGACCATATGGGATGCTGGGAATCGAACCCGGGTCGGCCGCGTGCAAGGCAAACGCCCTACCTGCTGTGCTATCGCTCCCGCCTCAAATCTGAACATTTGGACTTGTTTCACCTTTTTGTTACTGCCCCCAGTGCTTCAAAGAGAGCGAGTGTTCTCCACTCCTTTCCTTTTGCTCGTTGCAGCAGTATCTCTCGAGGCTGAGGCCTTTCCCCCGAGGAACACCCAGCAGAGCCGGAGCATGGCTGCTCCTCTTCTTCCCTCCACACTTGTGTTCCAGTTTCTCCGGTGGGCCCCACTCTGCATTTTTCCCTTCAGAACTCACAAACTGCATGTCACACTGGTGCAAGGTCTTTGCTATACGCGTATACATGAGGCATTCTAAAAGCGATGTAACGCTTTTGTCCTGTCTTCGAGGCAGATGTACGTGTTGCTATTAGTTCATTTCTTACACAATTCTCCTTGTTTTCACACACCCTGCGAAGGAGAGTGTGTGACTGGCCCGGGAGGGCGGGCAGATTCGGCTGCTCCAGGGCTCCTGGGCTGGAACAGGGCTGTGTCCACATGGGCAGGAGCTCAGGTTCCAAGCTGTCCCTTGCTGTGTCCCGGGTCTGGGGCTCTGGCCCAATGGGAGAGGCACAGCAGGAGCCCAGGGGAAGCCTTTCGTCTGAGAAGACGCCTTTGCCCTCAGTGGCTCTGTGCTGAGCCTGGCCGTGCTCAGGGCCCCACGGGGATACCCCCGCCAGCTCAGGACAACTCAGAGAGGCGGCTGCACGCTCCCCTCCACCCAGTTACAGAACTAAAGCTCCCTGACCCTCCTGACCCTCTGACTTAGCAGACAGTGAGCCCCCTTTACCTCCCCCCGAGTAAGGACCCCAGACCTCATTCTAGGAGCTCTGCCCCTGGGGTCCCCCTGACCAGAGGAAGTTCAGAAGACTTTTTCTACTCCAGACCACTTTTCTGAGGAAGGAGCTTTTGAGCAGGGTCCTGAAGGATGAGTAGGAGTTCGTTGTTCATGGTGTGTAAGAAAGGGCACTGCAGGTGGAGGGACCATAGTGGGCAAAGGCCCAGGGGTCTCGGCACTGGGTCCTTGAGGGTCCCACTGAAGCTGCTGGTGTCTCTCTCCTTCAGGTGGCCGGGACCGGCAGGGGCGGCCCCTACTGCTCATCTCTGCCATGGCCGGAGCCTGGGATGCGCCATGGTGCACTGTGTCCGAGGTCACCAAGCTGCTCTCCTACTTGTGCACCGTGCCCAGGTAAGGGCCAGAGTCCAGCACAGGCCTCTATGTGGGGAGATCTTGCACCTGGTGCAGCTCTGCTTGCGGGGTGGGGGGTGGGGGGTGGGATGCAGGATGGACTTAGTCTGGCCCTGGGAGTTTCCCAGTGTGGGGGGAGAGGGCGGCAGGCAGTAGTGAACCGGGCATGAGCACTGCTCCCGAGCAAACACAGTGAACCTCTGTTCACTGTCGATGAGGGCTTCTCAAACTGGAGCAGAAACTCCTGGAAGTTCAAACATCTGCACCCCTCGGACGTGGACTGGGAATGTGGCTTTCTAATACGTTTCCTGATGATGCTGACAGAGGCAGAGACCACTTATTTGTAGAGTATGGAGGTGCCAGGGGTGGGGGAGACCATGCCGGTGGGGGCTTGAGTCAATCAAGGAAGGCTTCCCTGTGGAGGTCACCGTGGGGTCATCGATGTAGAATCTGAATGACACGTATTTATTGAACAAAGAAAGGGTGAATGAGGAAAATGGATGAACAAGTTAGAGTGAAAGAAAGAATGAATTAGCAACAACTGATTTGGGATGATTTCAAACCACAAACCACCACTCTGTCTGCCCATCACTACCCCCCAGCCCACAACACACACACACACACACACACACACACACACACACACACACACACACACTCACACACGGAGTTTGGATTTCGTGTTTGGATTTCGTCTTCCCTGCCTCTCAGTCCCAGTCCCCAGCTGGGGTGAGGACTAAGGCGGAGACCCCAAGCCAGCCAAGATGCCCAGCGGCTGGGGGCGAGGATGGAAGATACAGAGACTCTTGGGAACTGCCTCCAGGGGCTTCCCCGGGAACGTCACTGCCACCTGCTGGCCTCCAGGATTTATCCTTCCTTGTGCAGGGTGAAATGGCTTCTCTGACCCCACTGCTCTGTGCTGACAGGGGGCCAGCAGGTAGACAGAGCTCTGAAACTCCCCAGTTTGCTGCGTGACCCTCAGGCAGTCACAGGGGGTGAGTAAGTGGGCTCAGAGCACTGAGCATGGTCACCGAGGTCAGTGTCCACTAAGGATTGCTTTTCCCACTGCCTGACGGTGGCCCTGGCCTGGCTTCTCTCTGGGCCACACCGGGGACGGGGATGCCCTCGACTTCCGGCCCTGCCCCCCAGGGGTGTCCAGGCTGTGGCAGAAGCTGGTAAGGAAGCAGAGTACAGATGTGGGACATGGTGCAGAGACCCAGTCACACCTCAGGGCCGGTTCTCATCGCCTCCACATCCCTCTGTGCCTGCCTCAGTTTCCCCTCAGAGGGTGTCATAATGGCGGAACTTTACATGCCGCTTACTCTGCACCATCCCTGAGTGCTTGAGAACAAATTAATGCCTCGGTCCTCACTTCCGTCCCACGGGGCCACTATACCCCATTTACAGATGGGAAGACAGAGTCTTCGGGAGCTGCTATGGCAGGGCTGCATCTGGGGTTGTCTGTAAGCCAGTGGGTCATTAGCCCCCCACACCCCATACTGCCCCGCCCCCATGTTCTCAGATGGGCCGAGGGCACTCGGGATTACTCGTAAGTACAGGTGAGCAATCAATCAGCTTTTTAAACAGTCCTGGCAGAGGGCCCGAGTGGGGAAATTTGAGCTCATCTTCAGAAAGCGTCTCGTGAAGCAGGGAGGGTGTCGCGGTTGCAGATAACCAAGCCCAATTGAGAATGTCTGGTGTGATAAGAAACTGGATCATTCTCTGTCTCAGCTCTAAGTCTGGCTATAAAAAACTTTGTTAAAAAAAAAAAAAGTCTGTCTCTCCTCGCAGACGAGCCCTGGGCTGGTTGGTTGGAAGTATGTCCCCTGACCCCTCTCTAATCATCGGCCAGCCCGAGCCAATGAGAAAACAGACTCCGGTGGGCATGCGGGGACATGCAGAGACTCAGAGTCCAGAACAGAATGAGAGTTTCACCCACACAAAAGGGGCAGGGGACTCGCCACAGCAACCTGGACGGCGAACATTAGACGAGGATGATTAGGGACTGTGTGAATCGCTGTGGGAGTGGGGGTCAGAGGGCTCCGCCTGGAGAAGAATCCTGGAGGGCTTCCTGGAGGGGAAAGCATTGGCACCTGGTCCTTCAGGAACCTGGGCTCATCACCTGCAGCCAGGCTCCTCACCATCTACACGGTCCCTGGCCCTGTTGACCCAAGCCCTGGCCTCCAAGCTGGCTAATTCTGTTTGCACCCACAGGCTGCAAGACAAAACCACAGAGCTGGTGTTGGTGATGGATGCCAGGAAAGTGCCCCCACCAGCTGGCCTGGTCAGTGCCCTGCAGGCCACCCAGGTGAGTGGGCAGTGGGCAATCTCGGCCGTCACTGGGCTCCTTCTGAGACCCGCAGGGCCTGCAGCCAGACTCGAGACAGCAAAACCAGGTTTGGGAGTGTTAGTGTAGTTTCAACCCATGCCTGGCTTGGCTCAAGGGTTCAAATACGGTGGCAGGGACAAGGATGCTGTCTCCGTTTCTGGTCCTGTCCTGCGAGGTGTCCTTCTCGGTCACCCCTCTCTCTGGGTGGCAGTTCCATGCCCAGCCCCGGGCGCTACACCTTCACATACACCTGTTCCTGAAGTCCTCTGGGAAGATGAGCATCCTTAGCCCCCATTGGCTTAGGTGTCCATCCATCAACCGTTAGGGGTGGGGCTGACGGCTGATTGGCTCCGACCCCAGTTCCCGGCGTACCTGCAACTGGCCCTGGGGCCGGGTGCAGTTCCTTAGTAGCTCCTGGGAAGTCCTACCTGTGCTCAGTTCACTGGCCTCCTCCTTGCTCTAGAAATGGGGAAACTGAGGTCCAGAGGGAGCAGGCAACCAGGAGATTTGCTTAAGCCTACTCAAACGTTGCCCAGAAGGGGCTGGAGCGATAGCAGAGCGGGTAGGAAGTTTGCCTTGCACCCGGCCTACCCGGGTTCGATTCCCAGCATCCATATGGTCCCCTGAGCACCTCCAGGAGTAATTAGTAATGAGTGCAGAGCCAGGAATAACCCCTGAGCATCTCGGGGCGTGACCCAAAAAAGCAAATAAATAAATAAATTTAACAAACATGCTGCCCAGCAGAGCAGAGGCGGCAGCGGCCCGAGAGCTGGCCTCTCCATTTTCCCACATCTTGGGGGACTGCTGGGGGTTGGGGGGGGGCGCTGGTCAGCTGGGCGGCTCTGACGCTTCTCTCTGGCAGGCGGGGCTCCCAGTGTCCATCCGGGCTGCGTCCTTGCTCTTCCTGGGGGAGAAAGAGGCTGCGCTGCCGCTGGAGACATTACCTGACCTGCAGGTGAGGGGGAGGTGGGGATCCAGGGGTTGGGAAAAAAAAGCCAGGAGCCCCCGGCTCTGGCCCAGCCCAGCGCCCTCCCTGTGGGGCTTGGCATATGGGTCCCAAAATGCTTTCTCTCTGGCAATCCCAGCTACTTGGTGGGCACCAACGCATGCTTGAAAGCCACACGTGGAAAGCCACACTATTGGAAAAACTTCTTCTGGTCCCCCCTCCCCCTGAGTTTTTTTTTTCTTGCTGGGGAAATTGAGGCCTCAGACCCCACTGCAAGCCAGATGAAGAGGGTCCTTGTCCTCACCACAGCCCTGTCCTTTCTCCATCTCATGCCCTAGTTCTGCCAGCCTCTCCCACTCTCTGTGATTCGTAGGGAAAGGCCCAGTTGCATCCTTTAATGCAGCCATATGCCTCAGACTTGGGCACCTGCCCCGCCTGGCTCTGAAGTGATTAAAAAGGTCTCTGATGGGGCTGGAGTGATAGCACAGCAGGTAGGGTGTTTGCCTTGCACACGGCCAACTCAGGTTCAATTCCCAGCATCCCATATCCCAGCATCCCCTGAGCACCACCAGGAGTAATTCCTGAGTGCAGAGCCAGGAGTAACCCTGTGAATTGCTGGTGTGACCCACAAAAAAGAAAAAAAAAGTCTCTGGCTTCATGGGGTGAGAGAAATAGTATAGCAGGTAGGTATTTGCCCTACACATGGCCAACCCGGGTTCATCAGCCCCCGAGCAACACCAGATGCGACTCAAAAAAACAAACAAACAAACAACAAAAAAGGTTTCTAGCTCTTACTCGGTTAGTAAACAGCACAGAGTGAGCAGGAGAATTTTGGATATTGTTTTGTTTTGGGGGCTACACCCGGCAATGCTCAGGGCATACTCATGACTCTGTGCTCAGGGATCACTCCTGGTGGCGCTTGGGACCCTATGGGATGCTGAGGATTGATCAACTGCATGCAAGGCAAGTGCCCTCCCCACGGTACTATAGCTCCGGTCCTGCAGGAGAATTTTATCATTTGAGTAGCACAAAGTAAGCAGGAGAATTTGGGGCGGGGGTGATTGCGCTTATCAGGCCTCGATGTGCCCAGGACTGTCGGGGAGAGAGTCCACATGTGGAGCTGTGGAGGCAGGTGGGCACGGGGTCCCCGGCTCGGTGGCTGCTGCTCTGGGAATCCCAGTGAGTTCCAACAAACGGGTCCCAACCACCATAGCATCTACCCGAACCCCAGCTGAAGTCTGTACGGCCTGCCAAAAGTCCCCGGAGCAAAGCTCCCACCCCGCCCCGACTTAGGGGACGCTGTTGAGATCGGGGGACCGTTCTTATCTGCCCCAAGCAGACAGCACCTTGGTTCCTTGGCTGGGGAGGGGAGTCGGGGAAGCCAGAGAATTGTCCCAGGATTTCAGAGAGCTTCTCACGTGTGACAGATTTCAGTGACCCTCAGTGGCCTCCAGTGAGCCTGGGAGAGCCCGGCTTAGAGGGCTCAAGGGCTGAGCTGAATGAATGATGCCTGCCCCAGATACAGACCAGGGAAGGGGAGGTGAGGAGGTGAAAGCCGCTCCCTACCCAGGTCTGGGTCTGCATTTTCACTCTTTTATTTCCAGAGAGAAAGTGAATCCTGAGGGCTAGAGCAATAGCACAGCAGGTAGGACACTTGCCTTGCACGCGGCTGACCCGAGTTCGATTTCCAGCATCCCATGTGGTCCCCCGAGCACCGCCAGGAGTAATTCCTGAGTGCAGAGCCAGGAGTAACCCCTGAGCACCACCGGGTGTGACCCAAAAAGCAAAAAAAAAAAAAAAAAGAAAAGAAAGCGAGTCCTGAAGGCCCGCGTCCCTGTGCGCAGCAGCTAGTTCTGGGGCAGGGTCCGGGTGGGGCGTCTCAAACACCTGTGCCAGCTGCCAACCCATCCTGGTGCCCCTGACCCTCCTCTCCGTCTGCAGGTGGAGGTGCTGACATCACTGAAGGCCCTCAGCCGCCACGTGGACCCCAGCCAGCTGCCCCCAGCCCTGGACGGCCCCTTCCCCTACTGGCACAGCGAGTGGGTGCGATTTTTCCAGGTGACTACCGCCACGGCCCCCACCCACCCGCTCCCCTCACCCCTCCCCCTCCATCACCAACCCAACCCAGTCAGGTCCGTTCAGGGACCAGTGAGGTGGCCCGAGGGACACATGTGTGCCTTGTCTTCATCCTTGAATTCATCCTTCACACCCCCACACCCCCACTAGACACCCCCCAGGCGTGGCCCCACAACAGCAATGATAACTAACAAAATTATATTGTATATAACAAAATATTACATATGTTACTTATATATAATAGAAATACATATATTTGTTTACTATGAATTAAAATATATGTTATTTATACAAAACAAAGTATAATACATTATAATAACAGATAATAAATTCTACTTTGTTTTATGTAAATAAAGTATTATTTATAGACTTGAAATACTTTTTTAAAGTATTCTTTTAAAAAATCCACGGTCCTCCCGTTGTTCATCAATTTGCTCGAGCGGGCCCAGTAATGTCTCCATCATGAGACTTGTTGCTACTGTGTTTGGCATATCGAGTATGTCACGGGTAGCTTGCCGGGCTCTGCCGTGCGGGCAAGATATCTACCCACTTTTGGATGAAGGTTGATCCCAAGCAATGCTAGGGGCTCCGGGAATCTCTCTCAATGTGTTTGGCCTGTGGGACCACTCAGTTCCGTGCTCAGACCTAGAGATGCAATGCTGCAGGCCACAGGCTCTGGGGGCATCAGCTCACCGGGCTCTGCTTAGGGGAACACCCGTGTCTAATGAGGGTGCAGAATGGAGTGAGAAAGAGCTCAGACTGCAGGGCCAGACTGAACAGGGAGAGAGGGGGGTGGGAGTCCAATGCTGTGTGACCTTGGGTAAGTCACTCACCTTCTCTGAGTCCTTTTCCTCATCTACAACACGAGGAGGTAGCAATGCTCCCTTTCACAGTGTCCTTGAGGAGGTCAACTGAGTACCTGCCAGAGTGGCTGGCACAGCTGAGCTTTGTGCACATAAAGGGAAAATAAACCCTGCTCAGGGCCCTGGGGCTGGCCCTGGGGGTGCTTGGGTCCCCTCTGGGGCAGGTAGGAGAGTAGGAAGCTGCTCCTGTCCCCGGGGACTTCCACCCTCCTCCCGCCAGCCTGGGAGGGGGCGTTTCATGCCCAGTTTAGTGCATGAGGATGTCCAGGACCAGGGCACTTGCCCCGGAGACTCCCCGCTCACACATGGCCGGTGACTGCGCCCAGGCTCTCTCTGCAGCTCTCGGCAGGAACTGCCCTGCACTGTGGCCGGAATGGCATCGTCCCTGGCCTCTGCCTGCCCCTCCTCGTGATCACCCCCTCTCCCCCACACGCCCCAGACCTTGCTGCCTGTGTCCTGCGGAGCCCGCAGTGTGAGATCTCCCCTCCCAAGCGAGACACACTGTGTGACTGCAGCATGGCTGGTTGGCAGCGGGCCTGGGTGCTCTTCTTCCCAGCCGTTTCGGCTTTGGTTTATCTTTCCTTAGTCCCCGTTTCCAAAGGCAGTGCTGGGGGTGCCTAGAGGCCTCCAGCCCTCGTGCCCTGCCAGCTGGGGCGAAGGCTCCAGGCTCTGGCCTGGTGGTACCAGCTGCTCAGGCCAGCTGGGGGCCGGGTGGAGCCGAGGAGGGCGCTCAGGTCCCCATGTGTGACGCGAGCCTCTCCCTGGTCCTCGTGCTTGTTCGCACAGACGCAGCCCGTCTGAAGCGCGAGCTGACGCTTGCTTGCCTCTCAGTACCCACTCCACTCTCGGAGGCCTTTACTGAGGGCTTTTAAATGCTATCTCTGCCCTATAGCACTATAGCACTGTCCTCCCGTTGTTCATCAATTTGCTCAAGCAGGCTTCAGTAATGTCTCCATGGTAAGACTTGCTGTTACTGTTTTTGGCATATCGAATACGCCATGGGGAGCTTGTCAGGCTTTGCCTTGTGGGTGAGATACTCTCAGTAGCTTGCCAGGCTCTCCAAGAGGAACGGAGGAATTGAACCCGGGTCAGCCGCGTGCAAGGCAGACACCTTACCCGCTGTGCTATGGTTCCAGCCCTAAGACCTTTAAATGACATCTCCCTTATCACTGTCACTGTCACTGTCCTCCCGTTGTTCATCCATTTGCTCAAGCGGGCCCAGTAATGTCTCCATTGGAGACTTTGTTGTTACTGTGTTTGGCATATCGAATACGTCACGGGTAGCTTGCCAGGCTCTGCCGTGTGGGTGAGATACTCTCGGTAGCTTGTCGGGCTCTTCAAGAGGGGCGGAGGAATCGAACTCGGGTTGGCTGCATGCAAGGCAAACGCCCTACCGCTGTGCTATCGCTCCAGCCCATCTCCCTTATCAACCCAGAATAAAGAACCCACCCAGCAATGGCTGATACTCAGCATGGGCACAGATGAAGCCTCCCGGTCCTCACAGGGCCCTGGAGGGCAGGGGTGATGCCCCATTTTACAGAGGAAGCCCGGGCACAGAGGAGCTAAGAAGCCCACCAAAGGCAGCCCAGCAGAGTGGGCTGCTGAGAGCCCCATGGGCCCCAGCCCTCCCTTCACGCCCCCAGGTTCCCACCTGTCTCCCCCCACCCCGGCGCCCCCCTCTCTCAGCCCCAGCCCTGGGGTTTCTCAGTCTCAGCCGTCCCCCAGGAACTCCCTGGAAATCCTCAGCCTCGTCCCGAGGAGCTGAGTGAGTCCAGTGCGGGGCTCGGCAGTCTGGCTGTGACGCTGTGTTCCAGGCGATTCGGACGCAGCCGAGGGCAGAGAGCATCACTGCTGGCCTCCGCCGCCGCCCTGGGCCAGGCTGACACCCCTCTCTGGCCTTCCGTCCTGCAGAAGCTGGACCCCTTCCTCGCCGACCTCCGCCAGGCCTCCGCCCTGCTCCAGGCTTCCATCGAGGCGTTTGAGAAGGGCGACCCCCCTGGAAGCGTGCAGGTGAGCCAGGCTGGTGGGGCAGGGGGAGGCCAGGGCAGACATCATCGTTCCGGGGTTTCACTTAGTTATTCAGCTCATGTTTCTTGGGGCCCTCGGTGGTCACACCCTGGAGACCCAACCTGGACTAGCCCACTTCAACTCTGCCCCTCTGGGGTTCACTGGGCAGTGGTCAAAATGCAGACAAAGGAATGGGGAAGACAACTTGGGCCCTGTGGTTGCCCTGAAGAAAAGAGTGATAGGGAAGGAGAGTGAGCCACTCGGAAGAGATGTCATTTACCTGAAGTTCTGAAGGCTGATGGGCTGGCCCGGCAATAGGAGAGTCAGGATACAGCATGTGCAAAGGCCCTGGGGTGCCATGGTGCTGGCTATGTGCAGAGACAGCAAGGAGGCTGATGGAGACTGGAGTATGGGAGGCAACAGAGAGAACTTTCCAGATCTAGCGGGAGTTGTGGGTTCAGGATTTTATTCTGAGGGGGCAGTGAAGCCATGGGAGAGCTTGAAGCAGAGTGGGGCAGTGGTGGAGGAGCAGATGGCAAATTGGGAGGGCACCTGAGGTCCTGGTGGTAGCAGGAGGAACCAGAGAGGCAGTGGGGAGGAGGCCCAAATTGAGGAGTGGGAGCAGAGATGGAGACCGAGGGACTCTCTGGAGGGCCTGGGGGTCAGACCAGAAAGGGCACAGGGTGCATGACCATGGGAGTTGCAGTCAGCTCCTCTCTGCCCAAGCAGGAGGCCTCCTGGCGCCTCAACCAGTCCAAAGAGCGCATGGAGGAAGTGCTGAGAGATCCCGGCCTGTGCTCCCTGCAGCGGGAAGGCGGGGCCATGCTGGCCAGGCTGCAGCAGGAGGCCAGCAGGCTGCCCTTCCACCCCGACATAAGGTACGTCTTGTCCCAGGCCCCAGAGCTCACGGGAGGGAGACCTGGGGTCGTGTTCTGGGCCAAGGCAAGGGCCAAGCCCCATCCCGGTGCCTTCTCTGCTGTCCCTGCTCTGCTGTGGTCATCTAACTGTGGGCAGGCACGAATGACCCCCAGCCCAGTGGATCAGCTTTTTCTTGGGCCTGGAGGCCTAGGGAGAGGTGGGGGACCCCAGGTTCTCCCAGCTGACTGCTGGGTAATGAAGCTCTCTTAGCTTCACTGGACACTCACGCCTGTACTACTCTGTCCACTCCCGACTGACTGGGAGGACTCAGGAACCTCAGGGCCTTGGGATAAATAAGAGAATTCCTGCAAAACACCTATTACCATTCTTTATAAGATATGAACAGGACCAGGGGGCTGGAGTGATAGCACAGCGGGTAGGGCGTTGGCCTTGCACGTGGCCAACCAGGTTCGATTCCCGGCATCCCACATGGTCCCCCGAGCACCAACAGGAGTAATTTCTGAGTACAGAGCCAGGTGTAACCCCTGTGCATCGCTGGGTGTGACCCAAAAAAGAAAAAAATACATATGAACAGGGCCAGAGAGAGAGCAGAGCGGATGAGCCACTTGAGGCCAACCCGGCACAGCCCGTGGTCCCCGAGCACTGGCACGTGGCCCCCAAAGAAAACAAAAATGTGACCCTTATTTTGTTCTGACAGTCATTTCTCCTTGTGCTCTGCTCTGCCCATAGCCTCAGCTCTGTGTGTGTGTGTGTGTGTGTGTGTGTGTGTGTGTGTGTGTGTGTGCGGTGCTAGGGGGCAAACCCAGAACTTCACCCCTGTGAAGCACGTGTCTGACCACTGAGCCACATCCCTGCCCCCCCCCTTCCATTTTTTAAAACCAAGGTAAATAAACATGCCATCTGTGTGAGTTTCAGGTCTATAACCCATGATCCCGTTACTGTGTAGCGCAACGATCACCGTCTCCCTCACCAAGTCCATGCCTGCTCACAGGAACTTTTCTCCTGCAGTGAGAGCCGAGAGCATCCAAGGTTTACCCTCCCCTCCCCCACTGCACCTTTCTCACACACAGCAGTCCCGCTAGCTGGAGCCGGTTACCCATCTCGGCAGCCCCACGCCGTCTTAGTTCTCTTTTGGGTACCGAGGGCACGGACCCAGGGCCTCATGCAGGCGATGCCTGTGCTGGGACATCGAGGTTTGTCCCACTCCTGTTTCACTTATTTTACAACCTTCCGTTGGTGCTTCTGGTACCTTCCTCCCTGCCCTGCCCCACCCATCCACTGTCTTGATCTGTGTGTGAACTGCTGTTTGGTTTTGCTGTTTTCATCCCCCGTGGCCAAGAGCTCACAGGGCATTTGTCTTTCTCTGGCTTGCTGATTTCACTTGACACCATGCCTTGGAGCCCTGTCCACGCCCAGAGTGGCCCTTCTGTGCCGAATATTCCATGGCGGACAGTGGCAGGTGGCCTCCCCGTGGGACTAAGTGTTCTGAGAATCATCTCCTCTGCTGCTTTCACCCTCGTGTGACCTTCACAGAGGTCAAGGACGCACGGAGTGTCCAAGCTCCCACCCGCCCAGGCTCTGGCTAACATCCTGGCGTGACGTGCCACTGTGTCCAGTCCGCTCAAAGTGGACACTCCGGTGGTTTCCAGACCGTGGCTTTTGTGGAGAACGCTGCAGTGAACGAGGGCTGACCCACAGCTTTGTGAGTCAGCCTCCCCCTTCCCCTTGGAGAAATACCCAGGCGTGGACTGGCCGGGCCCTCCAGTGGCTCTGGTGGGATTCTCTGGCGTTTTGACATTTAGGAGACCAAACTGGGGATCGGTCCGTGGCAATGTGTTGTCTGTGAGAGCAAACACAATTGCTGGGCTTGCCGAAGCTTTGGAGAACAATTTGTTTATTTAACCAACACCTCACTCGCTTGATCTGCACACCGCAGAGCTGGGAGCAATGGCTCGTTTAATTCGCTTAATTCCGGCCCCTGGCTGTCACTCGGGAAGAGCAGGGGGTGAGCTCAGGGGGTGGGCTCAGTGCCTGGAATGGGGAGACCAGGGTCACCCAGCGCGCTCGCAGTAGGACCAGGGCTGCAATCCCGGGCAGCAGCCCAGTATCTTGAAAGCATCACCCTGGAGCCCTCCACAGTCAGCCGGCCCCCGCCCTGGGTTTGGATGCCTTTCCCCCCCTCGCCTGCTGGGCCGACCCGCGTGTTTCAGCAGCCCCCCCACCCCCACCGCGCCCCTGGAGTCCGTCCTTGTCCTCGCCAGACCGGCTGCTGCCAGAAGATCCAGCAGGGGGCGCTGTGGCCCCACACCAGCCGCCTCTGTCCCGCAGCGCTGGCCGTGCTCACCCTTTGCCTCCCTCTCTGCGGTGGGTGGGCCGGGAAGGGGAATTTCCATCCTGTTCACTTCCCCGGGACCCTCACCTCTACCCTGCGAGGGCAGTGGCCCAGAGGAAGCGGCTGTCAGCTGGGGCAGTCGCGTGCCTTCCCGTTGCTTTCCTCTCCCCGAGTCCCCAGGGCCCAGCAGGGTGGGGGTGGGCTGGTGGGGTGTTGGAGCCTCCCTTTACCCAGTGCCACCAGGCGGGGAATTCCAGACACACCCCTTTATTCATTGCTTGCTGACTGACCCTTGGGAAAAAAATGCAGGCGAAGAAGGGTGAATCAGGGTCCGGTTCAGAGAGAGCCGGTTCCGCTCTGGAGGAAGTGACAGGAAAATGACTTAGCTGCTGCTGCTCCTGCTGCTGCATCATTTCGAATGATCACAAAGGCCGTTTCTTGGCCCTGCGTGATCGCCCTGGGTCTCTGGGAATGGCTCCTGGGTCTCTGGGAATGGGCGCAAAGCAACCACTGAGCCGTGGACCCTGCACACACACAGCCAGATGCTGGTGCCTGGCACAGAGAACGTCAAAGCGCCTGCACGAGTTCTGATGTGCAGCAGGGCTGAGAACTGATGCTAGACTAACTCGGCTCCCAGTGCCCTGGGAGGTGGGTCCTGCCAGCCCCAGTTTTCACAGAGAGCAGAGGCCCCCAGAGGGGCTCAGAGACCTACATAAGACTCTGTTCCTAGAAGGCAGCAGGGCCTGGGTTCGAGCATCCCCACATCTGTCTGCTCTGGCTCAGACTCTCCTAGGGAGTGGGGGGCTTCTTTGGATTCAGGGTTGTGGGGAGCGAGGAGCAGGCCCTGCAGGGCAGGACTCTTGGGGGTCAGCGGGGCCCCTCGGACCCTCTCTCACCCACTGTGCCCCCAGGAGCCAGATGGCTGGAGCTGCCGCCCTGTATGAGCTCGTGGAGGAGCGGCTGCATGTCCTGGTCACTGTGTCCAACCAGGTCCTGAGGCGGCTGGAGCTCCGAGTGCGCCTGGGCTGCCTCCAGGCCGCCGTCCATCAGGTGAGGGGATGGGGCTCCTGCACGGCTAGGACCAGTCATCCCTGGGACCCGGTGTGTGAGCATGTGCGTGTACACACACACAAACACACGCAGACACATACATATTAGCACACTCACACGTACACACACGCACACATGTACACACAGATACATAAGTGTACACACTCACATACACACACACATTCTTTTTTTTTTCTTTTTGGGTCACACCCAGCGATGCTCAGGGGTTACTCCTGGCTCTGCACTCAGGAATTACTCCTGGTGGTGCTTGGGGGACCATATGGGATGCCGGGGATCGAACCCAGGTCGGCCACTTGCAAGGCAAGAGCCCTACCAGCTGTGCTATCACTCCAGCCCCCACACGCACATTCTTAATGTGAGCCCATGGCCCCCTCCACACGCATGCACACACACGCAGGCAACACATATACACGCATGCACATGCATACATGCACACACATTCTTAGTGTACATCCATGCCCCCCCATATATGCACACACATGCATCCATACATGCATGTAAACACACACATATTCTTAATCTGTACCTACGGCTTCCTTTGCAAATGTATATGCATACACACACACACACACACACACACACTTCTTTTTTTGAGTCACACCTGGCAATGCACAGGGGTTACTCCTGGCTCTGCACTCAGGAATTACTCCTAGCAGTGCTCAGGGGACCATATGGGATGCTGGGAATCGAACCCGGGTTGGCCACGTGAAAATCAAATGCCCTACCTGCTGTACTATCGCTTCAGCCCCCACACACATTCTTAATGTGCATCCATGGCTCCCTCCCTGGACAGAGGCCCAGGGCTGCATTAAGCCCCAGAGACTGCAAGCAGGGACAGCTGGAGCCCTGGCACACATCGTGTCATGACAGCCTGGTCACTTCCCAGCGGTGCGGTTGCAGTGGGAGAGTGTCCCCACCCAGAGAGGAGAAAGTGGGGCTCTGTGTGAGCCCATCCCTGCCACCACCTGCTCTGACTGCTAGGGCCTTGGTGGGCCCTCCCTTCCTCTGCCCACTTTCCCCCCCTATTCTGGCTACCTCCAGGGCAGGCCCTCACTCACCACCCAGTGGCCCCTGTTTCCTCGTCTCTTCAGTGGGGGATAGCCCCACTGGGTGTTACGGGGATCGGGAGGGTAAACTAGTGTTCTTGAGGATACCCCAGAGTAAGGGACAAGCACGTGGGGTTTAGAGCCGTCTCAAATCCTCTGTCTCACACTGAGTCCTCGTGTCCACCCACCTTGGCCTCTGAATAAGCTGCCGCCCACAAGGGAAGCGGCTTTTCCAGTGGGCACGGGGTGCCTGCTTGCCTGCAGGGATGGAGTTCAGTCTTCGCAGCTGCCCCTGTTATGTCTGGGGGGGAAAGGGGCAGCGCTGGGCAGCGGGAGGAACTTGCATGCCCTAACTTCATGGACAAGTGCCCTGAGGGTCTGGGGCACCGCCCGCTGGCTGGCCAGCCAGGGTTGGGGCTCACACTCGGGGTGGCCTCTGCCCTTTGGATTCGGAGTCAGTTCTTCAGAATCTGGCCCAGTTCAGGCCAGGCCACCGGGCACAGGCCCAGCCACCAAGTGAAGACAAGAAAACCTCATCTGCCTGGGAAGTCGGGGCTCTGGTCAAGGGATGTCCCCCCACATCTGTGTCCCCCGTGTCCAAACTGGCCTATTCTGCGGCAGGTCAGCCACTGGATGGAGCAGGAAGGAAGCCGGTGCCTGCAGGCGCTGAGCCCCGGGGACGGAAGCCTGGAGGCCGTGGAGCGAGCCCAGGCCGAGTTCGAGGACTTCTTCCTGCAGGCTGCGGTACGTCCTGGCTGGCTGGAAGCTGCAGATGTGGTTTCGGGGGGACCTTGCGGTACCAGGCGTGGAACCACGGTCTCCTGCACACAAACCCTGAGCTCAGCAGGTCGGATCATTTCCTCATGTCACTCCAGGAGGCCAGCCTGAAAACAGAGGCAGCAAATCTGCACCCTTGTTGTGGGGGGGGGGGGGGGCCTGGGGAGGCCAAGGAAGATCTGGACTCTGTTTTCAGACCCCCAAGGAACACCCCCAGCCAGAACAGGGATGACAGAAAGGGACAAATGTGGGCACTAAAGGAAGAACCCCAGCCCCCCACTTCAGGGTCAGAGAAGATCCTAGAAGGAGGTGGCCCCTGAGCCTGGTGCCTAAGCACAGAAGGGGAAACTGAGGCTCAGCAGTCAGCAGCAGTCTCCCCCATTAAGGGGGGGGGACTGAGTGGACATCCCGTTCTCTCCCCGCTCAGGCCCAGTACCGCCGAGGCCTGGAGCTGTCCAAGCAGGCGGCCCAGCTGGGCGCGGCAGCCCAGGGGCCTGGGGACACGGGCGCGGCGGAGCTCCCGGAGCTGGTGGCCTTGGCTGCAATGCAGAGCAGCTTCCAGGCCAAGCTGACCCACTTCTACATGGCAGCCGAGCGGCAGCGCACAGACCTGGACACGCTGCTGAGTCTGCACCGTTTCTGCAAGAAGGTGAGGGGCACGGGCTGGCGGCGGCCACAACAGCCCCCAGGGCTCTACCCATGCCTTCCAGGGGGAGAAGATGCCCACCCCCTAGTTCAGGCCCAGCTCCCCTGGCCCCTGGCTTGTCCCCCTAGGGGCAGGCAGCGTCCTGGTGTGCCCAGTAATAGCTCCCAGAGGACCTCCTGGAGGACCTGCCACCAACACGGCACGTGGGGCAGATGCCCAGGATGCTGGGATCCAAACAGCGCAGCCCACCTCCATGGTCCAGCTGCAGAGCCCGACCCAGAGCAGGGGACAGCAGATCAGAGTGGAGCGGTCCCTGGTCACTGGGTCTCTGGCAGGAGTCTCAGCTCTGCCCCAGCCTCTTCTGTGCCCGCGCAGGGGGGAACCTGGGGAGAGGGGGAGCATTTTGGCTGGGGCACACACGCGCGCACACACACACGCGCGCGCACACACACACACACACACACACACATTCTTAATGTGCATCCATGGCTCCGTCTTTGGACAGAGGCCCAGGGCTGCATTAAGTCCCAGAGACTGCAAGCAGGGACAGCCAGAGCCTGGCACACAGGGGGAGTGGGGGACCCTCACTTCCACCCTGGCACAATTGAGGGTCCCCCCACTCCCAAATACCCAAATGAGGCTGTGTGTGGCCAGCAGGAGGCACTAGTACCCCTGTGTGGGTATTTGGGAGTGGGGGACGCTCACTTGGCAGCTGTGTCTCTGGACAAGTGAAGGTGGCAGGTGGGTCAGCCTCATCCTCAGAGGAGGAAGCTGAGGTGGACCCGGCAAGGGCCTGGCTCACCCACGGCCACCTCGCCAGAGGGATGATGTGCCCTAACTCATGCCCGTCACCAGTCTTCTAAGGGCTGGTGGGCACGGTAGCTGGTGCCTGAGACCAGGCGGACACAGTGCTGGCAAAATGGTGAGCGGGAGGTCAGGGCAGGCTTGTCCCCTGACCACCGTGTGCCCCAACTGCCACTCTCAGAGTCTTCCACCCCCCACCCCCTCTCTCGCCACAGCACAGGGGATGTCCCTTGGTCTCATTCCCATTTCACAGGTGAGGAAACTGAGTCCCCATGGGCAAATGACTTGCTCAGGCAAATCCATAAGCAGGACCTTTCTCAGGAACCTGTCCCTCTGGAGTGAGCAGCCGCGCCTCTTGTGTTCCAGTGAGGGGCCAGAACAGACCTCAGGGAGCAGGGACCCGGCTGGGACAAGAACCCACAGTGCTGGCCAGGCCCTGCCCTCAGCTGACCCCTCCCTTGCCACCAAGGACACAGTGTGGGGAGAGCCTGACCCGGGCGGCATGGCTGTGGGCCTGTGCCAGTGCCTGGGGACAGGGAACACAGCCTGCTCAGAGGGCAGCCCAGGGGACGCAGTCACCTCCAGCCCAAGGGCCGGCCAGACAGGCCACCCTCTGTCTCCCAGGGACAGCCGCAGGGAAAACAGCTGTGGGCACCCGGGGGATGCCTGACGCCAGCTGTCTCAGCTAGAGAGGAAGGCGGCGGTGGCCTGAGACAGGGCAGGGGTTGAACCACTGCCGGAGACTTTGCAGCTCTCTAGCCTTGGCTCGGCTTCAGAAACTGACACCAGCAATAACCAGTGACGGTTATGGTGATGGTGACAAAGATGGCGGTGATAATGGTGGTGATGATCATGATGACAATGATGGTGATGATGGTGATGGTGGTGATGTGATGATGGTGGTAATGATGGTGATGAAGACGGAGGTGATGATGGTAATGATGGTGATGAAGATGGTGATAAAGATGGTGATGATGGTTGGGTAATGATGGTGGTGATGGTGGTGATGATGAGAGTGTGATGAATGGTGGTGATGATCATGCTGATTATGATGGTGATGACGATGATAGTAGTGATGGTGATGGTAGTGATGATGGTGGTAATGATGGTGGTGGTGATGGTGATGAAGATGGTGGTGGTGGTGTTGATGGTGATGATGATGATGAAGATGGTGATGGTGATGATGGTGATGAAGATGATTGAGATAGTGATGATGGTGATGATGGTGATAAGTATGTCTGCATAGCTCTCCCTGGACTCCAGACCCTATGCCAGTGGTTGGCCTGTGGTCTTACAGTCACACCACCCCTATGAGGCAGATACTAGGATACTAGGGGTATGAGGGCTTGGGACCACACCCGGTAGTGCTGGGGGCTACTCCTGGCTCTGTTCTGTGTTTGGAGGTTGCTCCTGGCAGTGCTCAGGAATAACCATCTTACATGTAAGAAAACGGTTCCTGGAACAGCTGGAGTCAGGCAGCCTGGAAGTGGCTGAGCTGCTTCTAAGTTCAGATCTGGCTCCAGCCTGCGGGCATGAGAGAACGGACCCCGTTCGCAGGACCTCCAGTCCAGCTTTGCTCACACGGGATCATTTACTCAGAGTTTTGATATCAGGATGAGTTACAGGTTGGGGGTATGGGAAGCACCTCCCCCTCACTCACCTCTGTGCCCACTCCCCCAAACCCCAAGAGACCAGGCCATTCCCTTGTCCCCTAGTTCCCCGCCCCCACCGGGGTTTTAAGCCCACGTGCCCCTCCTCATCAAGGCTCTCCTGACCCCTGCACCTGCCTTATCTGTGTCTCTTTCTGCGGCTCCTTGTCCTCGAAATGGTCCTGGTTGTTGCTGGGTTGTCCCCTGTAGAGAGGCTGCCCGAGGCTGTGACCAGATCTCACTGTGTCTCGTCCTGTTGTGCTGGTCAGTGCCCAGAAGGAGCCCAGTCCCCCCCCCGCCCCCATGGTGACTGGCCAAGCGAGGGGCAGCAGGCTGGTGATGAAGGGGAGCCATCTGGCCAGAAGGGGTCCAGCAGGCAGCAGACCTGACCTTGAGGCCCACCTTGACCCCAGTGTTTTCCCTAGGCAGGCCCTTTCCCCCTGGGCCTGAATTTCTTGTTGAGGGGCTCGTCAAGCAGTGCTGATACTGGGTTAGCTGGGTGGGCAACTCTGTGCTAGGGCCCGGAGGAGCAAGAGGCCAACAGGACCGTTCCCAGCAGTGCTCAGAGCACTCCAGGACCTCCAGTGATGAGGCTAGGGCACCCAGAGCAATGTGGAGTTGGAGGTGGGTGTGCAGAAAGGGGGGTGGGAAGCATGAGTCCTTGCGAATGCCTGACCTGGGACCAATCTCCACAGCTCTGAGCTCTCATCCACACATCAGGTTATGCAAGCTGATATCCAGCATGCAAGATGATGCCCAGACAGACAGGGCTGGGCTCATCCAGGAGCTGAAGCCCCAGAAAGACAGACAGACAGACAGGGCAGCCCAGGGCTGGGCTCAGCCCCAGGAGGGCAAGGGCGAGGCGGCTTGGGCACTAAATAATAATAAGGCGCTTGTGCCGCTAACGGAGATTTATGGAGCCCTTTCCCAGCCATGAGCTCCGTGTGCCTCCGCGAATATGAAGCCATTTATCTAAAGACAAGTTCCCCTAATCCATGGAAAGATGGTTTCCTCGGAGCAAATGGTTCTCCAATCCCCGCAGCCTAACTGCTCGCTGTCGGCTTCTAAATTAATGGAGAGAAAGATTATGTTTTCCACCAGCTGCAGGCAACGGGTTGGCGCCTCGCCGCCAGCAGACATTTTATGAGTGAGGTGGGGGCAGCACGCCGCCCCGCAGCTAGAGGCTGGGCCGCAGGGAGAGGGGCTGCGGCCTATTGCCGGTGTGGCCAGCTGTGGCACGGCCAGCCTCAGCCCTGCAGGGTCACTGGCAACCTGTGGGCTGGGGGGAGGGGCGGAGCCTCAAGGAAGGGGCGGGGCCACGAGGATGGGCGGAGCCTCGAGGGAGTAGGACAGTCTCAAGAAGGGGGCGGAGCTGTGAAGAGGGTGGAGCCTCTGAGAGGGGGCGGGGCTTCTAGGGGCAGAGACATCAGGAGGGGGCGGAGCTGTGAGGAGGGCGGGGCTTCACGGAGGGGCGGGGCTTCTAGGTGTAGAGTCATAAGGGAGGCGGAGCTGTGAAGAGGGCGGAGCCCCAAGGAGGGGCGGGGCTCCTGGGGTAGAACCTTAGGGGGGGCGGAGCCTCGAGGAGGGGCAGCGCTATCATGAGGGCGGAGCTTTGGGGAGGGCGGAGCTTCTAGGAGCAGAGCCGTGAGGGGCGGAGTTGTAAGAAGGGGCGGAGCTGTGAGGAAGGTGGAGCTTCAAGGAGGAGCAGGGATTCTCGGGGCAGAGCCTTAGGAGGAGGGTGGAGCTGAGAGGAAGGGGGCAGAGCCACGGCCCTGCAGATCGGAGTTAGAACCCCAGCAGGCTCCCTGACTGCACCACCTCTAGGGCCAGTGGTTTCTTGTATGAGCCGGTTTCCTTCTCTGTAAAATGAATTTCGGGTCCAGTTCAGGATGATCGGAGACACAGAGCCTGGCAAACAGTCCGTGCCCAGTTAGCACTGGTCAGACCCTCCTGCGCCCTTTGCCATCCACAAATTCTGTGTGATTGGGGCCTGTCAGGGTGGTCAGGGACCTTTGAACAGGAGCTGAGCCCCAGGTCCATTAGAACGAGCTGGGTGAGGTTATCTGGCAGTGGATATGTGGCCCCAGGAGAGAGGAAATCATTGTCATCAGTAGAGGATGTGGTGAAGACCAGACCCCTCACCCTCACCCCAGTCCCCCACATCCCTTCCACAGTCATTCGCCCTGCAGGGCACTTTTCCAGCCCTGACCCTGCTCTCACCCCGACCCTGTCCTCCCAGAGCCCACCTTCCTGTCTTCTTGTCCCCCAGATGGCCTGGTTCCACGCGGACTGTCAGGACCTGATGACGCAGCTCAGGCTGGGCAGGGACCAGAGGGCCAGCCCTGGGGACCAGAGGCGCCTCCACCGCTACCTGCAGCGCCTGGCGTCCGAGTTCCCCGCCGAGAAGCTGGCGGCCGTGGGGCTGCAGGCGGCCTCTCTGAGCTGGGCCCACCTGGGCCAGGAGCTCTGGGCAGAGGCACGGCACACCCACGAGGCCATCCGAGCCCTCCTGGAGAAGGCGTCGGCCCATTGCTCCAGCCCCTCGGGGTCCCCAGCCCACTCCGCCCACCCTGAACTCAGAGGGCCAGTGGCCAGGACCCAGGGACGGTGGGGCTTACCCCTCCAGGACAAACTGGGCATGCAGCGTTCCCCCAAAGCCTGTTGGCTTCCTCGGGCTCCAAGTGGGGGGCAGAGCAGAAATTTCCGGGCAGGCGCTCCCCCCTGGGAAGCTGGCCAGTGGGCAGAGGCTGACGAGGCCCCTGAGCATGTCCTGGCCACTCTCCTCTCCTGGCTGCGCCCCCTCAGGCGGGGGCAGGGCCCTCACCCCATCAGAGGCAGCTCCTCCTCCTCAGGGACAGAATCCCAGACGTCTCTGGAGGACTCACCCCAGACCAGTCCCCCCGCGTCCCTCTAAATGGGACCCCGAATCTCGGCACTAGCCCCAGGAGCTGGACGGGCTGGCTGGACAGGAAGAGGCCTGGGCCACCCCATCGGGACCACATGCTCCCCCACCCCAATCGCTCTTATGGCTGCTCAGGGGGAGAAATCTGGACCCACCCTGGCCCCAGGAAACTGGGGAATGATGTGACTCTGAGCTGGGGAGAGTATTGGCGGTGGCAGGCTCTAGGAGCTGGGCCTTGCAGAGGTCTCCGGGCAGGGTTGCTGATGGCCATGCCAGGCCCTCCAGGACTCTCTTGCCTCTTTCAGAACCCCAAGTGGGCAGATTCTCAGGTCCCAGCGACCGAGTCAGGAATGAGGTATGTTTATGGATACAACCCCAGGAACTGCAGCGGGAAGGTCTGGGAAGGGATGAAGGGGTGTCATCTAGTGAGTTCATCTGCACCAACAAGGAGCTGCTTAGGGCAGGCTTGGGGTCTAGAGAAGGTGGAGGGCTTGTCTGTTCCACTCTCCTGCCCCAGGCTCCTCCTACAGCCACAGGCCAGCGGTTTCAGATTGAGACCCGGCAGGGGCTTGTCCTTGAATACCAGAGGACATCCCCCCACCTCCATTTTTCGGCCTTCAACCCCCACCCTTCCTGAGGAACGGGTTCAGTGGGTGACCAGTGGCACGGGGTCCCACTGGAAATCCTGGAGACCTGGGGAAGTGGTGGGATTACTGTCTGCCCTCTAGTGAGATGGGGAGGGTGGGGAGGCCACTGCAGGACCAGGAGACATCACAGTGAAGAGGCTACTCGGCCTCAGTGCCCCAGTACATGAGAGGGGCTTCCTGGGCATCCTAGCCCAGATAACTCAAGTCAGTCCTGTGCCAGTAACCAAAGACACAGTGTTTCTCAGTTCTCAGAGAGATGGGGGATACTGATGAAAAGCACTTGGGGCACAGGTCCCAGCTGTACCCCCCCTCTCTACCCCCCAAGCCAGCTCTTCCGTGTTCCGCTCTCCTGCCTTCCGTGCAGACAGGCCTGAGGCTGCAGAAGACGTTTGATCAGCCCATCTCCATCCGTGCCTGTCACCTCCGAGGGGGGCCAAAGGCTTGCCAAGTGCTGTTGCCATAGCAACAGCATCCAGCTGGGGGGAACCACAGGCAGGGAGCCAGGGTACCCAGGGTGCTAGGATGGAAACTGACTTCTGAGAGACTTTAGCTGCTGCAAGGGCGGCTGGGGGACTGTGTGTGGGGAGGTGGGGGGAGGAGGGACAGGGATAGGGGGATGGGCAAATGATTCCAGAATGCTTGGGAGGGACCCCCAAAGTCACTTTCTGTCTCCAAAGAGATCTGAGCCCTAACATTCGATCTACTCCCAGAAAATCCTAAGGGGAGAAATGAAGCATAATAATGAATAATAATATATAAAAAGAATGAAAACAAATGTGAAGAGCTTTTATTCTGCACTTCTGGCCCAACACTGAGCCCCGTAATCATTTTGCAGGGAGCCGTGAGTCTCATCCTAGGAAGCAAGGACTCCCCTGTCCCCATCCTCTTACTGAGGAGGACATGGAGGCTCTGCCAGTCTGGTGACACTGGACAGCAAAGGTGACGCTGGTGACACTGTGACTCAAGGCCATACCCATGCCTCCCTCGGACAAGTCAGTTCCATGGCAATTTCTGCAGTGGCCCTGGATTTCTGTCCCCTCCACAATCCCATGCCACATGGCCACTGCCTCTTACCCAGGGACCAGGGCTCAGGAACCCCCTATATTCCAGTTGCCTGGGGCTCCTGAGTTAGGGCTCTGGCCGCCGGATACTCAGTTCTGGACTGGACCGAGCATCCGCGGATACCAAGCTCCTCAGAGTGACCAGTGCCTGGCCTCTCTGAGCTCCGTTTCCTCACCTGTGCCTGGAAAGGCCACTGGGAGAATCAGGACCCCTGTGGGCCCCTTTTCCTTCCGGCATGTGAAGCCTTAGAAAGTCACTGCACAGAGGCAGGATGGAGACAGACAGTCACTTCACAACTTACAAAGTCCCTATTGTCCATCCATTTTCTCATCCCATATGTATTTCGTAGGGGGTGGGGGGGCATGTAGCATCAGGGGTCAAACACAGGTCTTGTCTATGTGCTCCCACCCTTGCTCTCTCCCCAGTCCCTCCTCTTTCTGTACCTTTTACAGCCCTGGAGGCACAAACGCAGCCCTCCTGGATGTCCCCAATGTCCAGATGAGAACATGGAGCCCTGGAGAGGGACACTTGCCCACAGTCACACAGCACAGAAAAGGGTGGAAAAGGAGAAGCTGGGAGTGGATGGGGAGACAGACAGCACAGGGCACATTCCTTACATGTATGAGGCCCTGAGTATGATCCCCAGCACTGCATGCCCCCCTGAGAACTGTGGGGGGGGGGGTGTGGCCCTCTGGTCCCCAGCACTGTTGGGCCCCAGGCACTGTTGGGCCCCAGAACCTCTGGTCCTCAGCACTGTTGGGCCCCAGAACTTTGCTGATATCACTGAGAGTGGCTATGGGACCCCCTAAGCTCTTATTGAGAGCACATTCCCCAAAAGGGGGTGTTCAGAACCTCCCACCAATCCCCCCCTCTAGGATTTTGGACACGCCTCTCCCTGTTCAGCCACCCCCCCCCCCTGCAGAGAAGTTGCCCACATCAGACCCAGACAGGATGGGGTGCGGGTGAGCGGCATCAGCGTGGTTTGTCCTCAGGAAATCCAGAAGATCTGTCCCTCTGGGGCTGATGTGTTGGTCAGCCCGAGGCACCCCTATCTGGCCCCAGCCCCGCCCTCTGCAGGCTCCACAGAGGGGACCCTGGAGGGTGCGGGGTTCCTGGAGTCCCATCCCCTTCTGGAAGAAACCACTGCACTTCTTCAGGCCTCAGTTTCCCCATCGTTGAAATGGGGAGGTTGGGCAGACTGTAGATTGCCAAGCCCGCGGGCCGCCTCCTCCACCCCCATCCTTCTGGCACCCCTGCACCTACTGTGCTTGCAGGCCCCAACCTGCAAATTCAAGGTTGTCCTTGAACTTGAGTCCCTCAGTGCCGCCTCATCCCTCTAGTCATCCTCTCCGCCCCTCTGCCCACCCCACCTCATTCAGCTCCTCTCCCTGGCACAGCTCCAGCCGTGCCCGCGTGTCCTTGGGTATAGCCCTGTAGCCTGCCATCCCCGCTCACATGCCCTCCGCAGACGGCACCACGGAAAGTCGTGTCTGCCCCTCCTAAACACTACCCACCGCCCCCCCCAAGCCCCCAGGCAAAAGCCCCCTGCAGCACTTCCTTAAGCTCCTCCTGTTAGCCCTTCTAGCTCTTTCTCGGTTGTTTCCAGCTCTTGCTAGCTCCTTCGAGGCCCTTCCAGCTCTCTCTCAGCTTGAGTGCCCCTCGCTGAGGAGCAGAGATCCGGGTGCAGCTGCCCCCTCAGAGGTGATCGCCAGGGAAACCAGGGTGCTGGGAGAAGCCGCAGGAGCTGGGAGGGGAAGGGAAGGGAGGGGAGGAGCAGTTTTAGGTCACCCCCAATCTCTGCCTAACAGAGGGATGACGCTGGGGGCAGGTCCTTGCACGGGGCCTTGGGGCGCTCTGCCAAGGCAGGCTGGGCGGGGAGGGGTACGGAGTCTGGGAGATGCACCCACGATTACAGTCTAGAATGAGAATAAACGGGAGCTCTTAGAATTATTTTGAAGGGGCAGAGATGCCAAAGAGAGATTTCTCCTAAGAAGATGCACAAATGCCAAGAGGTACTCATCACCCCTCACACCGGGAGGCCTCTGTTGGGATGTCCAGAATCCAAAGGTCAGGTCACAGGGGGCAGTGAGGATGTGAGTGCATTGCGAGCCCCAGCTCAGGGGGCAGTATAGTTTGAAGCTTCTCAAATGACTAAACAACCTACCACCATAGGACTCAGCAATTCCACTCTGAGATACATACCCAAGGGGAAAGGGAAATAGGTCCTAAGAGTCTATAGCAGTTATTCTTTTAAAAGGGATCAAAATAAATTTTATTCCAGGTATTAATTCTATCCAAGTAATTGGACTAAGGCCAAAAATCTGCATTTACGTGTTCGTTGTTGTTGTTTTGTGATTGGAACCCACTTTTTTTTTTTTCAAATCGATGAACAATGGGAGGACTGTGCTACATTTTTTTAAAATTTTTTTTTATTAGTGAAACACCATGAGGTACAGTTGTAGATTTACAATTTTTTGTGCTTGGGTTTGATTATACAATGATCAGATACCCATCCTTCCACCAGTGCCCATTTTCCACCACCATGGATAATATCCCCCCAACCCCCATCCCCCCATCCCCCCCTGCCTCTGTGGCAGGGCAATCCCCTGTGTTCTCTCTCTCCTTTTGGGTGTTGTGGTCTGCAAAAGAGGCATTGAGTGGCAAACATGTTCAGTCCATAGTCCACTTTCGACATGCATCTCCCCTCCTGGGAGGATCCTCCAAACACCCTTTATTTGGGAACCCACTTTTTTTTTAAACTTTTTTTGAATCACTGTGAGATAGACCCTTACAAAGCTATTCACAATTGGATTTCAGTCATGCAGTATTCCAACACCCACCCCTCCACCAGTGTACTTTTCCCAGCACCAGTGTTCCAAGGTTCCCTCCCATCACCCCCCCCACCTCCCTGCCTGTCTCTATGGCAGGTGCTTTTCTTCTCTCTCTCTCTCTCTCTCTCTCTCTCCTATCTCTCCTTTTGGGCATTATGGTTTCAATATTGATACTAAAAGGTTAACAAGAATATCCTTTTACCTAATTTTAACCCTCAGATCCTGTCCAGAATGATCATTCCTAGCTATTATTGTCATACTTGTCTCTTCTCTATCTTACCTACCATCAGTCCCACACACACTTGTGGTTAGTTCCAACCATTAACCAGTCCTCCTAACCCCTATTTTCCCTGGCCGTGGTTATTAGTCTTCATATATATTTTATATATAATATACCACAAATTAATGCAGTCATTCTATATCTGTCCCTCTCCTTCTGGCTCATTTTCATTCAGCATGATACTCTCCATGT